CACTGAGAGCTGGAAGTTGCTGAAAGGACTGCGTAAGGACATGAAGCGGGAAGTCAATGTGATAAAGACGGAGACGTTGGTTATCGGTGGTGATCAGCAAAGCATTGAACTGGAGGATGGCCGGAGAATTCGGGACTGTGAAGAGTATAAATATCTAGGAGTTGGGTTGACGAAGGACGGAAATTTGGATCGGGCTATTAAAGATCGAAATGTACAAGGCAGGAAACCTATCGCGATGCTAAATGGGGTTCTCTGGGACCAGAATATCTCCAAGAAGACCAAAAGAAAAATTTACAACGTCATCGTGAAGAGTATCGTAACTTACGGGAGTGAGGTCTGGCAACTCAAGAAAAGGACCGAAGACATGCTTCGGGCAACTGAGATGGACTTTTGGCGGCAGTCTACTGGCATCTCAAGAAGAGAGCGTATCCGCAATGTAAAAGTGCGCGAGATAATGGGTGTCGAGAATGACATCGTGCACGATATCAGGTCCAAGCAGTGGTCTGGTATGGACATGTGCGAAGGATGGGAGACGATCGGTTGCCCAAGCAGGTTTTCGATTAGGTTCCTCCCGGAAGGCGACGGCGTGGACGCCCTGTGAAAGGTTGGCGACAAGGGGTGGAGGAGGAGATCAGAAGGTGCCAACTGCCTGGTGGTCTCTGGGAAGATTGGGGGCTCTGGCGATTAGGCGTCGCAGAGCGCGAGGCTGCGCTATAAAAGCGGCTTAATGTATGTATGTGTATATTTGTGTATAATTTTAACTTGTTAAAAAAAAAAAAAAAGAAAAGAAAACTTTTAAAATTTCCAAACTTTGTCGCCGACCTCCCCCATTGACTCGATCCACTGTGCGACGGTTCCTCGTCAATGAACCGTCCATGATTAAGTTTAATTTAGTTTTATAATTTCATTTACCTCCACCAATACATCCCCGACATCATGAATTAATAATGTGTAGAGGCCGATTCTATGTGCACCTGCGATCCATGATGCAGACAACAGGAACACCGTTGCAACGTGATGGAGCATTAAGAGTTTCGGGTCCTTCCTCGGCACATCCCAGAATTGTGAGATATTCCACGCGGAGTAATTCGCCAGTGCTATGAGGAAGTACCAATAAATGTCCCTTGTAACCGGCTGCGGCAGAAACATGCAGTGACCTTAATCATTTCTTCCCAAAAATTAGTGGATAGGCTGTCAATGGATTTTTTGACAGGTCTAAATTGCGAAACGGATTGGATCAAATATGTTTGTAATTCAGACTTGAGAAGTATTGCGCATACATGGATTCAAAATTTGATTAGTGCACGCGGAATGTTATACTGACCATTGTTTAGCATTTCGAAACTGTTGTCCATAAAGGAAAGGAGGTCCAAAAGGTTGGCTTACAAATCAAATACATACTTGGTACAAGGACATTGCTAAAATTTGCAAAAATTGTTGGAATGTTCCTTGGACCTATCAGAGATTGTGTCACTGAGAAGTGACCAGTGAGTATATGTTTCGAAATTAGGTCAATGGTTGAAAATAACATGAAATTGCATTAGCTTTGGTATATTAACTTTCATTAGTCAGAATAATTATGCAATAATAATTGAAGATAAAAAATGTCATCGAATGTTTGTAATTCAGACTTGAGAAGTATTGCGAATACATACTATAATCAAATAGTACATAGTATTGTGGAATGTTTTTCTGACCATTTTTTTGCATTTTTAAATTGTGATCCATGAAGAAAAAAAGGTCCAAAAGGTTGTCTTACAATTCAAAAACATACTTGGTTCGAGGTAATTGCTAAATGTGCAAAAGCTGTTGATATTTTTTTGGGACCTATCAGAGATTGATATCACTGAGAGGTGACCTGTGAGTATATGTTTCGAAATTAGCTCAATGGTTGAAAATAACATGAAATTGCATTAGCTTTGGTATATTAACTTTCATTAGTCAGAATAATTATGCAATAATAATTGAAGATAAAAAATGTCATCGAATGCATTTGTGACAATTTTTCTCTAGTCGTGAGTAGAAATTGATAGAATATGCACGAGAACGTGACAAATAAAAGAAAATTCAGGTTAAAGTTAAATTCTGAAAGTATGTGATACCTGGGGGTAATCTTTGAAGGCAAGTTTGATGTCCCAAAACCAATCTTTAGACCAGTGAACGTATAAACCATACGCAAGAATGAATATGAAGCCGAGACAACGCCAACTGCAAGAAAATCAATTGTAAAATGAAGAAGATAAAAAATCTGGGTTGATTACACTAAAAATGTAGTTGGAAATTAATAAAAAAAAAATGTCTGCCGACACGCGTACATGCGAACCTTAATAGAACACTAGACATGGTAATTTTAATTAAATTTAAAAGGGGACTAATGCATCACTAGGCATGTTTCCCCGTAAAAATAGCATTTAGAATAAATAAAAGTATGTAATCAATTGGCGGACGTAGTAAAACTAGGAAGGTAGATATTTTATAGATAGACAATCTACTTCGTTGATGTACTTACAAACTTTCACTGAATTTCTCTAAAGTTGTAGGCAATGCGAATTTTCTTCTAGCTTTGAGCCATTCTTTAATTTGTTCCTCGGTCCAGTCAAGTTGTTTCGTAAGCGCTGATATTTCATTGTCGCTCCATTTCCCCGAAGGCTTGGACCGATGTGCTTTTTCTAGCAAGTCCACATGTGGCGGTTTTTTACGCTCTTCGTCTTGTATCCCAGCCCATGCGCCAACCTTTGGACCAACGTATCTGCAACAAAAATAATATTGTTTAGTCTCAATTAGATTAGAGTCCCTTTATACCCAGAGTTACGACAACTCACTTTTGGTTGGGCTGAAAGTGGCCTAAAAAAAATCCAATTCTGATTGGTTCTCGCTCATGGAGTCACAAACGAGTGCACCAAGATGGCGGTGACTACTCGAATGTGAACAAAAGTAATGATAATATTACCTAATTGTGGATTATCAAGAGTAAATTGTTATTTCCATCGGTCCAAAATGAAATTGATTAAGCAATTTTTTACAAACCAATCTCATTTTCTTTGATCAATCCTGTTGATGATGTTGTTTTTGGATGACAGACATCGCAGGACTCCTTGTCCTTATCCCTCAATATCGTTCGTTTGGGTGCACTCGTTTGTGCCTCCATGGCCAGCCAAGGCCGGCTGCCAGTCAGCTGATAATCGAGTTGTCTTAACTCTGGGAATAAAGGGACTCTAAATTAGATGGCATGACATATTCAATTACTTTTAACTAGGCGCGACTTTGAAAAGAGACCAAAGCAACGTCATGGCTTCAAGTTTTCACAGAGTATTCATTATATAGAGAAAAAAAATCACTGAAGTCTCAAACAATGACGTTCAATAGTTTTCCATGTAGAAAATAATGTATGACAGGAGGTCTGCAATGCCGCGAACTGAAATACCCATATCTGCAGTTTCACCATCGATATAAGGTGCTAATGTACTAACAATAAATACGGTATATAGTATCGCGGTAGGGCGTGTTCCTTTTTGCTCCTTCCTGTTTAAAATTGAAGGCCCGCGAGATCCAATTTTATTACATCAAGTATGTTCTTGAAGCCTTATGATTTACAATAAGTCTGAGAGAAATAAAGTTCTAAGAATCTGATGGATCATTTTGCAAAAGATTCAAACCTATGTAATAACAAAACTAAATTTTGAATTTTTGTGGGCTCAGGACCCTATTCCCGTGGGAGGTCAGATATTCTAAAAATGTTTGATACGTGAAATTTAGATTAACTTACTTTTCGACCATAACTTTTGGAAGAAGTACGAAAGGGACTAATTTCCAGGCAACAAAAACATCTTGAATTTTAGGCATTCGAAGTCCATCTTTGTCCTCAAACCGATTGAAGTCCTCCCAGGTGACATTCTGCGGCAGCCAAAATGACTCGCTGAAAAACGCCCAATTTGACTCCTTGGTGAAGTTCATGATCGGCCGATCTTGCAAGTAACGTTTACGAAAGTTCTCAAGGTTGTTGATCTGTAACGCGACCTGAAACGAAAATTTTACATCAAATTGAGTTTCAGGTTTAATCGAAGGAAGAAAGAATTCTCGGTTCTAGAAGATGGCGATGAGAATTGATGGTAATAATTTGTATCTTTCCACATACTACACAAGTATTACAGGATGAAAGCGTCCATAGATTAGGTACTTCATAATTTGTTACTACACTATTAATAAAGAAAATAACTACCATCCGTCTATATGAAATTTGAGATGACCTCTGTATTTAAAATTGTTCAGGGTGAGTAACGCATTCAAAATTCATTTTTTAAAAAATCGAAGTTCTGCGTTGATGAAATTGAGGCCATGAAATTGAGACCGAAACAACACATCGACGGTGAAACTACCAAACCACGTATCTCGGTTTGCGACGTCGCAGACTTCCTGTCATACTTTATTTTTTAAATGAAAAACTACTTAACGTCCACTCTTGAAAATTTCTGTGATTTTTCCTCTTCGTGCGGAGGAAATTCTGTGAAAATTTCATGCAAGGAATGATATTGATTTGGTCTACTTAAAAAAAATAAAATGTGAGCGTAGATTTTTAAACACCGCAAACGAGATACGTGGTTTGGTAGTTTCACCGTCGACATGTAATTGTTTGCGTGAATTTTGGATCCTATACTAGGACCCACGAACGATGATCCCTGAGCCGCGGGTATTTCTTGCAAACACTGGCAACAGCGACACCCCGGCCCGAACCGAGTCTCGAGTTCGAGGACAATGCCGAGCCGAGCCACAATCGAACCCTAATTACTTACGCGTAATTTACAATTTCACTCTCCCGCTAGAAAAAACCAAAATTTGTTGAAAGTTGTGTAACATTTTTTTAGCAAGTGTTTCGTTACTCTCCTTTAAAACACGAGTAAAAAGAGGCCTCGTTTATAAAAATCGGTCAAATAGCAGCAAAGTTACAGTTCGAGATACGATGTTATGAATAAAAATTGGACTTCGCTTCAAAAAGGAAAAAGAAGGGAAAAATAAAAATTATGTATAACAATTATATATGATTTAGCTCAGAATTTTACGAGCAATCAAACCATGTAATGGACGAAGAGATTAGGGCAAAATTACAAGAAATTGATCTTTTACGAAAGGGCTTCCGATGAAGAATTTTGACCTGGAGATAGGGGTAGAATAGCAGCAGTTCGCATACAATAGCTTTTCGCGTTCACAATACTCGGTCTCGTCGATGTGCGTGCTCGACCCTGCAGCGTTGTCATTGACATGGTCCATGCGTTTAGTCGCCCGATTTTTCAGGGATCATCGTTCGTGGGCCCTAGTATAGTCTACACTGCTGTGCTAAGGAAGAACGCCGTATGAACACTCGAGTCCAGAGTTGCCAAATTTCCTTCGATAAAACATGTATTTTTGACAACATTCATGCTTACTCTCCCTTGAAATTTTCAGATATTTTAGATTAAATTGCGTACAAAATTGTCTGAAAATTTTGGGAAAAAATGCCCGCAATTTTCTCAGTAAATTCAAATTTTATTGGAGGAAACTTGGCAACGTCTGAAGGTTCATCCGGCGTCCTTCCTTAGCACGGCAGTCCAGTAATTTAAAAGTGATTTATCGATACGAAAGCATGAGGATGGGGTTTTCAAAGGTTTTGGGACAAAAATGCCCGAAAATGGTTATTTAAACAGGAGTTAGGCGGTTTTCATTGTCAAGTTAAAAAAATTTGCTCTAAGAAAAATGTATCAAAATTTTAGCTTGCCATGTCTAGCGGAATGAAATTAAACGCATTCAAAGTAATTGAAATACTCGAAATTTATTCTTAACCGAAGCTATTTACCATAAAGTAGTGAGTTTTACAACTTTTTAGGGATTTTAAAAGTAGATGCAATGAATCTATGTTGTCTTTTGATAAAAGTTGTGTTTTGTCAAGATAATTATATGTTTTCAACAGCCCTATATATTTTCGACCCTCGCTTTTTTGCTAGTTGGAGGTCGGCCGATGAAATTGTGTAAGGTGGATCTTTATAGAAGCATTTGAATTTATTTCACAATAACTCTGGACCAAAACACCAAAAAAAACCCCCAAAATTGCACGGAATCGTAATTAATTTTCAATAAAGATCACGAAAATTCAGGCTTCAGACATCGATCTAATACTCTGAAAATAATAATACAATTTAGTCTCAAAAATAGCAAGTTTTCTCAATCTAGGCCTTTAAATGTTTTACAATTTGCAAAATTCCCCTCTGTAAACCTATCTTTTGTACCGAAAAATGTTTGTCACCTCTAAATTTACTTACTTGGAAATTTTTTTTAGACGATGCGCATTTCGAAACTAGTGTTCAATCCATGAAATTTTTCCCCTCTTCTCGTGCGCACACGTACATCAATAAAAGGATAAACTTATATAAAATACGAACTGAACAGGCTATCTAATGAAACAAATACTGGAAATAGAAAAACTAAGACGTATAAGTTGAAAAGTTATGAGCTTGAGCCGGCTACTTACTATGACTTCGTTCATTCACTCACAAATGGGAAGTAACTGTAAAACTCTAGTTATTCTTACATTTCATTCCCATCGAGTATGGTCAGACCAGCTTCTACATCCCTTAAACCACTTCGCCAGACGCGGTGCAAATTATTTTTTGTCCCCCTTAACAGTTAATCTGCAGTAATCCTTAACAGTAAATCGTGTCTTTCCACTCGTCTATGACGGGAGGGTGTTTTCCGTGTTTTATCCTAAGAAAAACAACCAGAAAAACTTGTATACGTTCTCATTTTGAAGGAAAGCCTCGTATTAAAATACCTAACGTGTTGTGCATAATAGTATCGGAAGGGAAATACGTAAAATCAATGGAAAGAGCTTGCACTTCACATATTGAAAATCCTTTAATCATCTTTGTCTAATCTGTAAGGAAGTGAACTAAACGTTTTCGCGAGAAAAAAAATTGAAAGAGATCGATTACTAAAAGGTCAAAACTACGTGTGGTCGCTTCGACTTATCTTCCTAGTACCATGTGACACGCCTTTTTCTAAGCCTGAAGATTTCAACCGGGGTTACAAATATTTAAACTTTTCTGTAACAAAGGTAATGTTACAATTTTAAAACTTTCAGAATGTCAAGGGTATCTGCAGGGCAAGATAATAAAATAGTGCTGGCTCCACACTGATTTGCTGGGGATGATGCAACGCTGAAGAATTCCAAAAAATTGATTAGAGTAAAAAGTTTGAGCTCTAACATATAGTTCGGGCCAAGTGTTCAGTGTTTTTTCTTGCATAGTAAGATATTACGTGGAGATTTGCGCCAATATTGATTGTATTTTTGCTCTTTAATACAATTTTTAATTATGGGAGCTTTGTGAATATCACTTTGCTATGTTGTCAATTTTTCATTTTTTGAGCTTATAGTATGTCACAAGCGAGCGATGATCGAAGACTTTTTTTTTTAAATTTAAGTGGAAATTACAATTACCATCTTTACCTTAAAATACATTACTGCAAAAATCAGCCAAACCTCAAAAATACAGCTCTAAATAAAATTAGGGCAAAAAAGCTCTGTCGGTTGTTACAGGAAACGGTGCTAAACTCATGGCGTGAAATGCTACAGGCTGCAACGCATATTGACGGTGTAAGTCGGCAAACACATAACTCGATTTTTGGCGGTTTTGGGTTAGCTGCAGAAATGAAGTGTAGTAGATGCCCTTTACCTGCTATCAAAATATTTCAGTCGAAAAAAATCTGGAAGTCACCCAAAAACGTAGAACTCCAAACACATATCCCGGCGTTAATTCCAACAACACATAACTCGTGCCGTCGCGCCGCATTTTAACACAACGCGCGCTCTCCCGGGAAGAATCGTGAACAGTTTAGGAGGGAAAATTAAAAGTTAGTACGTCACGGAATCTTCAAACAACAAAGAAATTGTTATTGTTTTAACATCTAACATCTAATCCGACGGATAACTGAGTAATCGTCCGCTTCTTTTTATTTTCATTTCATTTTATTTCGTAATTCGAGGGCGTTAGTCCGCAATCACATAATCATCTCGTTCACGGTGTCTAAAAATCTCCGCCTCTACGTTATTTTTTTTAAAGGGGAACCTCGACACATTTGACATCATTCATTGCAGAATTTTCTTCGCATAGAGAAGAAAACTCACGGCAGTTTTATAGAATTGCCGTTGAGTAGTTTTCCGTTTAAAAAATGAAGTATGAAAGGAAGTCTGCGACGATGTCGTAAACCGAGTTATGTGATTGCCGACTTACGCCGTCGAATTGTTTTCCGGTGTCATTCTAAAGATTCGCTACCAATTAAAGTTTGTTAAAAGGAAGTTTAGGCGACTTTTAAAGTGAGAGGAGTCTTAATTATTCAGTCAACATCGGCAAAGAATAGGTTTGAATCAGTAATTTCCCAACCACGTATCTCAGAATTCAGTGTTGGACCTTAGTTCCACAAACACATAACTCGATTTTTCGGTCATTTCTCCTGACAGACGAGAATATTATTCAAAATGATGATAGAATCTTATAAAGCATCTTATCCTTGCTGTCTCTAAGAATTAATTTCCCCTCTACCTTTAAAGATGAGGAATGTATAGAGTTTTTCCCCTCTCCTGAAAAATCGCGTATTCCGAGTTATGTGATTGCCGACTTACACCGTCGATATGTCTTTGCTCCTCTGACGTAAGAGCGTATCTCTTTTACCAGTGAGCCCTAAAAAGCATTGAGTTATTTGGATAACAGGGTTCACGTGGAAATTGAGATACGCCCTTACGTTAAAGGGGCGACAAAGTGGGCGACCGATCCGACCTCTGCGGTGGACTTAAACCTTTAGAGCCGTGCCTAAAAACAAGTAAGCATCCGTCCAAAGTCACTGTCTTGGCTATTTGACGTGCAGTACCTATTTTTTTAAAGCGCTTGAACATAGCATCGAATTAATCCAGACCTATTCTTTTTATAACCTTAAAACCAAATCCATTCTCAAGATTGATTTTTTTTTCTATAGCTCCGCAATGCTGAATGTAAATGTTGATTTTGAAGCAAGCATTTAACACCTTGACATCTTGTAGCGATTAGTTTTTCGGACCTGCCATGCATCTGGCAAGACCCATGCTACGCGCACAGCTTGCTTTGTAAAATATCTTTGATGCAATGCATTGCTCTATTTTTTTTTTTTTTTTTTTTTTTTCTACACACGTCTCACTGAGGAATATGGATATGCTACGTGACTTCCAGGGAAATGCAGACGACATGCATAGTAAAAATCGTACCGACACCTCAGAGAGTGAAGGTCATCTTGATATATGATCACCATGTAACCAGAGCTGAATTGAACTTGCTGTATCCGAAACTTTGGTCAATGTTAGCGGTCTTTAAAATCATCAATGAATAAAGGTTAAGTCCAGGCACCTACCCTCGCGAGGAGTAAATTAAGAACTAAATGGACGGTAACTTATTCTATACATAATTACTCTCTACATGTAGTAAAATTGACGTGGTAAAACTTTGCAATTACAAAGAAGAACACGGTAAGCCGTTGCCAAACTATGCCTAATACAACACAACAAGAAACATAAAATTTCTGAAAAAGTTGTGAATTTTTACTTCGAGTTTCTTAGAGAATTTTATCCGCAATTTAATTGAAAATTTTCAGCAGTCCACGACTTTTTTCTAAAAATTAAATATAATTGGACGTATTTCTGCCAAACGGAACTATGTGCATCAAGATATGAGCTCTGAGATCCATAAGAATATGTGCATAAGAGGGCTCACATCATAATGCACATAGTTCCGTTTGATAGAAATACGTCCAATTTATCCAAGGAAGCTTGGCAATGTTCAAGTGCTCGAACCGTGCCTTTCTCAGCACGGTAGAAACACGTTGATTCTTATATTTACAAACATGATCAGATTTCCCGTGCACTAATATGCATCGCATCTTTGATGCACTTTTTTGCCCTCTGATCGGATGTCTTTATTCCTGTATACTTCGAATATAGTAAAATTAAATCTTTTGGAGGAAAGTCCTCCTGAGATGATCAGCTTGAAGATCGAGATTCATTTTCGTCTGTTTTGAGCTTGTTGAGGACAATATTTTGAATCAAATCCAAGGACCCATGATAATACACGGTGACTTTCGCATACACCACCCTACTTGGGGTGGTCGAAAAGCCTATTTTTGATGAAAAAGCAAGAAAGAAAGCGTATCTCGGTTCATGACGTTTCAGACTTCCGTTCATACTTCATTTTTCACAAATCGGGAACATTTAACGTTATTTCTTGAAAATTTCCCTAATGGGGAATTTGCACAGAAAAATTGTACTGCTTCATTTTAAAGTGCTTCATGAGCTGAGTTCGCTCTGTTTTTCATAATTTTCTTCTAAAATGGGGTATTATAGAAAAATTGATTTAAAAGTGAGAAAATATGCCGCCTTGTGGCGTCATCTGGCAGAATTTCCGATTGAAACACATATATAATGGCACATTAGGTTATTTTTTCGTGTTTTCTTCGTTACTTGTGAAATTTGATCTATTTCTGCCAAACGGAACTATGTGCATTAAGACATGAGCCCTGAGACCCATGAGAATATATGCATAACAGAGCTCACTTCATAATGCACATAGCTTCCTTTTGGCAGAAATACGTCCAATTTTGGAAACCAAGGAAATGTTTATGCTCAGTTCTCTTGGAGTTTCATTCAAACATTTACAAAATTTCAGACACTTGCAAATTCTTCATTAATCTTCTCTGTGCTAGGGAATATTGGGAAAGTACCAAAGCAAAGGCTCTGGTTTGTTGTCCTCTTTCAATAAAATAAAATATGGGAGCGTAGATTTTGAAACACCGCAATTGGACTGCATTTTATAAACTTAGAACTACAATGTCTGGCTTACTTTAGAAACGACGTATGTACTATTAGTTTTTATGTACGTGCGTGTTTTTAATCGATGAGTCGGATATTGTATTTCCTTATCGCAAAATGCAGTCTAATTATATACCGCGTTCCTGCAGTTTCATTATCGTCGCCATTCAGTAGAGAGATATTGAAAGATTTTTGATAGAAAGGCAAAACTAATGGTCCTTATTAATAAATCGTAACTTTGGTCTATTTCCCTTTTTTCTTTCTCTTTGAGCGCATGTGCCTTTTTATTATTGATTTAACCATTCGTTTGTAAACCATTTTGTTAAAATCGCAAAACTCAGTGTTTAGATTTTTTCCATTTCATTTCTCTCAGCCTATACTTAAAACTACAACCTAACCTAGCGCGCATTTTCAGTTAGTTTGTAATAGAAGAATTCGGGGTTCTATTTGATCCCAGTATTTTCTTGGTAAAATTACCATTTATGAAATTGGTAATTTTACCGAGAAATCTCGGTAGAATTATTGAACTTTCCCGGTAATTTTACTAGACCTTGGTAAAAACGCCAATATTTTTTATCGACTGTGGTAGAATTACCGAGATAAAATGGCAAAGTTACCGGGAATTGATTACTAATAAAAATTACCTGAAAAATACAATAAAAATACCGGTTTTTAGGTAAGCTTACCAGTCTGTCTTGGTAAAATTACCAATAACTGGTAAAAAAAGTGAGATGGTGATGGTACCAACGGACTTTGGTAAAAAAACCGAGAATTTTTTTTCAGTGAAGAATCGAGAACTCTCAATCTGACCTAGAAACAAAATTATACGTAACTACCATAATGTGAATGAAAACCCTTCGAAATAAGTGATTCCTGAGAGAAGTAAAAAAGAACTTCGGATCTTCCATCCAGCAGTTGGTACAATGAAAACGCTTTGCGGTGATCGACGGTCTTGATGCAAAATGCGAAATTATTTCCAACTCTTCGGTGCTTTTAGGTCTGTATTTGCAAAAATATTTGGAGAAAGACATTCTTTTTTGGCGCCAAAATCAACAAGGCACATAGAGGAAGCTACCATTCTCTTCCCGGAAATTTGCATCAATAACGTCATTGAGATAGCCAATATTATCACTATTTTAATACATAGGAGTGATTTTAAAATAAATAACGCAACTGATGCTTATCAATGAAAAAGGTAGGCGTTTGTATTCGTTAAATTTGAAAAAAGATACTTAAAATGCCTTTCTTTTTATTAAATTTTGCATTAAGTGACGACGCAGGACTTTGGGTGAAAAGAACAACACATATTTTTGACGATTTATCTTTACAAATATATACAACATACGAGGAAATAAATAGGGCATTACATTTTTTCCAGTTTTACTAAAAACGTTACTAAAATGAAAATATTAGTGCACACTTTCTGGGGACAAATAGAAATGAATGGGTCCATGCTTAGCTTGCATTTTTACAAGTAAAGGAAAATTGGAATAACTATATGTGACCCGCTTTAACAAGCTTCATTGAAAAATCTAAAGTTTAGAGATTTTGGTCGTCAGGCTGCGGTTCTGCGGTAGACCTCATGCCTGGTGCATCAAACAAAATGTATTCTCGAATGCTTATTATCAAGAAAACAGTCCAGCATTCAATTCTATTCTATTACTTCGTTTTTTTTTTNTTTTTTTTTTTTTTTTTTTTTTTTTTTTTTTTTTTTTTTAATTTACTAAGTGTCATACTTGCCGCTATAAACTTTACCCGATTGCTGGAGAGGCACCCTTCAACTTACACTTTCATAAAACCTATAAGTGAATGGCGTGACGTACTTTGCAATATATGAACTGATCGGCCATTTGAACTCATGGAAATGGATTGATAAACAGGATGTTCGCAACGAACATCTTAATAATCGATTCTTTACCGCAGCTTCAAATTAGGGAATATCGATAATAGATTTTTCACGCCTTACCACTGCTTTCGGCATCAAAATTAGAGATCGTGCTTGATCCTTCACATCATCGCTTTAAAAAGAAATGCACTCTGGCGCCATTTTTTTCAGAACATAGGAAAGAAAATGAACAATCCTCTAAAGAAAGCGGTTACATGAGGGGTGGGAGTAAAGCTTACGATAAACATTCCATGATATAAATAATACAGTAGCCTGATGTTTGGTTTTTTTTCCAGTCCTCCGGTTCCAATCCAAGGAAAAAAAATCTGCATCAAATGACGTAATTCATTCAGCCGTTAGTTCTGACGGACCAGCTCTCTTCTTTAGGAGTGATTTTCTTTGCCGAGTCATCTTCGTCATCATCCGACATCGTGTGTGTGTCATCTTTCAACTGAAAAAAAAAGATAGTATCCGTGAAACACATATGTTGCAAAAGCGGATCTAGTAATTCTTCTGTATTAGAAATGATATTTTCCTCAATTAAAACCTAAGTTGAAAAATCGATCCTTGGCACCTTCGAGAATCGATTCGTTGCAAAAGGTTTAAATGAAGGAAAAACAATGTTGTTAATTTGCTGGATCCGTCACAATGGGGATTAGTTAAAAGGGTTGAAAAAAGTGGCCACCTCTGAACATGGCCGGATTCACCTACTTGCCGCCCATGGGCCGCCTGCATGTATATTGCCGCCCCCTTATTCTCATTCGTTTTGGAACTCGATAAAAACCATCAAATGAACGTGTCAGCGGGGGAGGGGTGCATAAGATGCATTTACTCGTGTTGAACACATTTTTTGAGAGAGCCCTGTCAACACTACTAGCAAAAATTCACGGAACTTTGCGCGAAAGTTAAGTTCCGTAGACCTATCTCTGTGTGGACAAAGGCCTTCCATTCATAAGAAATGAACGAAAAAATTATGAAAGAACAAACATAAATGTGGATCAATGATTTTAACTTCCGCCACCGCGCCGCCGCGCAGACCACACCGTGTTTGGCGCAATGCGTGGAGTATTCACGCAGTCTTGTAGGCGCTATGCGTTTCATGCCGACCGCAATGACCGCGCTGTGTTTGATGCAATGCGTGAAGTATTCGTGCAGTCTTGTAGGCGCTAATATGTGTTACATGCCGATCGCCGCGCCGAGGGCTTCTCCTTTTCATCTCAAGTGTTCGTCATCATTTCTCTCTAAGTCGCGCCGTTCCAGGCCAAATTGCGTGTTTGGAATCTCTCTCCACTCGACTTATTGAAGGTGCTGTTTCTTCCATCACTAAGAGACGACAAAATTAGAAATTACTATAATCTCAGGAAAAGAGAGATTTTGTCGCCTTTTCTCGTTTGTAATTTTGTTTTTATAAATCCGATTTTTTTTTATACCCACACTTTAAAAAATTGCAAATTTTTGCCGCCCCTTAGATTTGCCGCCATGGGCCGCGGCCCATGTGGCCACCCCCTTAATCCGGCCCTGCCTCTGAAGTTTCGTTCAACACTATAAGCAACGTCTTAAAATATCATTTTAATGACTTCATCGAAGATGGATTAATAATGCATATTGCAGGTTCGTGTTCTAAGTTGAAGTGGGAATCGTGTAGTTGTTTTCAGATCTTTGACATCATATCTTATTTTGGTAACATCATTGACAATTTAGTTAGTTTGGTTACTTAATTTACGACGATCAGCAACCAGGCTATTTATGTTGGGGACCAGGAAACCTTAAATTCTTAAATTAAATTGTTTAAAGAGTTTTTAAATTTAGGTGACCACTATAGTAGCTCACAAATACAATGCAAGGTGTATATACATTTTAAGTAATATTTTGACAGTGTATGTCCGCAACCTCGTATCCCGGTTTGCGACGTTGCAGATTTCCTGTCCTACTTTATTTTTTAAATGGAAGACTACTCGACGAAATTGTTTTGGAAACTACTGGAATTCATGTTCTGTGTGCAAAGAAACTTCTGCGAAAACTTCACGGAATAATGTCGGTTTGCTCTTCTTCAAAAAAATGAAATAGGAGCGGAGAGTTTCAAACACCACAAACTAGATACATGGGTTGCGATCTTACGCCGGCGATTTGTGTGATATGTAGATAAACTGGTTTAAATCTTGAAAAATTTCGAGCCACTTTATGACCTTAAATGAAAAAGTTAAAATTAGTGTGGTGGATTTAAAATTTGGCTTCTAATTATTTCAATTTTCAAAACTGATTTTGAGCGATACTTTGAGGCTGGCTCAAATAAAAAACCACCGGTAGTTCAATGTTTCGCTAAGGTTCTTTGACATTTTCCGTCAGCGGAATCTTCAAATTCCTTGATTTCGTTCTATAGAAGGATTGAGTTTTCTAACGCACGAGAGCCTCCACATTTTACAACATAATAAAAGTGTGCGGTCGTAGCTATGGAAATACAAATTATTTTATGATGCTACTTCAACAAGTTGGGCCAATAAACAAAACATACGAGAAATTGCATGCTTGTGAATGAAGAAGTACAAGGCCACTTGGTGGCTCTGCACTTAATTTTGAACTTACTTTTCCTGCAAAAAATGCTGTATAACTGATCTTCAAGATGATGTAGGTCCAATAAAGATGCAGGGTGCTCATGCCTCCCAGTATGATCAAAATGATGTGGCACATAGTAAACCTGAAGGAGCTGCAAAACGTGAACCAACACATCAGCTCGTGAATCATAAGTATAAACCATCAGCACGAGAGAAGAAAAATAAGAACAAGTTGGTTTTTGCAATCGCTAGCGATAGCAATATTCGTCATGGGAACTTTTGCTTCTGGGATATGAAAATGTTAAGGTACAGTTCGTTTGTAGTATCTTCAGAATTGAAGGGGCTATGTAATTTTGTGTCGACATCTCTTTTTTAACATTTTTAATTTTTTTTCTTTGCATACAAGAAAGCTGTTATTT